AGAAGGTGCAGTCTCTCAGTGCTCCCAGTGCAATGAGTCCGGTTCACCTAGCTCAGTGAAACTGGGAGAAGGTCACAGTAGGTGAGTGGAAATAAGCAATGAAATGGAAAGGAATAAAGTCTCAGAGGCAACTGAGGCTTTCTGAAATTCAGTGTTCTCCCCTACAAAATGAGGATAATTAATGACATTTACTCCACAGCTTTTTGGGAGAACTGAATGGCTGTGTGGGAAAGTGTTCTGTAAACTTCAGGGCATAATAAAATAGTATAATTAGTCCAGGGCTTGATATGTAGTTGTTATTATTTAAATTGTTGAAATGATAAACACGACTCTACTCATTAAAGGGAGGAAGTTCTCTTTATCTTAACATTGTGGAGTGCAGAGAATTTTCAAGGAGCCAACAGAAACGAACAGTATGGAAATAAATTTCTGGGTGCCCTAAGGAAGGAAACACATGTTCTCATTCTGGCATTACAGCATTGCTAGAACAGCTATGAAATGCGTGTTTTTATAATACCTCACTAGAGGCCCGGTGCACAAAATTCGTGCAAGGGGCTTGGCCCCGACAGCCACAGTGGCTGCCTCTGCCTCGGCCCCCATGGTGCCACGGCTTAGTCCGGAAGGTCATCAGGAAGGTCGTCAGTCTAATTAGCATATTATGCTTTTATTATTGTAGATTACTGTATCTAACAGTCTTTCTAAAGCCCCATTCTAAATGAGACCCAGCAAGTGGCAGGAGGCATACCACATATAATACTGCTCACTCAGAATCCATTTCCCTTAGCTATTTTTCATCAATTTATGCTTCTGTCAGCTCTTTATGCCTGTTTTCTCTGGGTAGCTTTATTGTTATTGGAATATGGTTTTTGCCTGTCTTTTGCTTAAATTAAAAGCATCTTTCCGGTGTTACAGAAGCAGCCAGATGTTTTAAAATACAATTAAAGATCTTGAGATGCAGTTTTGTGGAATGTTTCTGACATTTGAGTTCAGGCATTTTTTTTTTCATCTCAGTTTAACTCAAGTGAATGCAGTCCTGAGCTGATGGGTAAATCAAAGCTAAAAGTGTTCAGAAGATGGAAAGATACCTTGCAAAATGGAATTTTGTTTGAGCATAATTTAAATATTTTTTATCCACATCTCTTCCACAGATTAAAGCAATCTCTACGATTTTTATTAATTCACCATGGCTTTGGTTTTTGCTCCCCCAGGAAACTCAGATCTGGTTTTCTTTGTTAGTGAAGTTAAGAAATGGGCGAAATAAAAGAAGTATCTAAAGGGCCTTTTCTTGTTGTAAAATATATTACTGTTTTTTTTAGATAGGGCAGGCATAGCTTGTAAAAGGCATGCAATGAGACAAAGAATGATAGATGAGTTGGCCAGCTGGTGGGTGAATCCATTATTGTCCAGGACCTGGCTCTCAACCTTGCAGACTAAGAAATATATCTCAGGTGCACTCAGAATAAGCAAGCTAAGAAAGGTTGACTATAAAATCAGATTGCAAATTTATACATTTTACAATGATAAAAAGAATTGTGATAGTGATAACAACCATTTTAGATTTCTTAGCAGATAGACTTCCAACATTCAATCCCATCTTTGCTGCTTACTAGTATGTGGTTTTAGGCAAATTCCTTAACTTTGTGCAAGATACTTACCTAATTTATTAAAGTTCTCAAAAGAATGCCTGGCCCATCTTAAGTACTCTATGGAACTATTTGTCATTAATATTAATTCTCACAACACTCATGTAGAGTGGATACCATTACTATTCCCCTTTTACTAGTGAGAAAATGGAGATTTAAAGGTGCTAAATAATCTACTTCAGGTTCCATAGATAGTAAGTGGGCAACCAAAATATAATCAGGACAAGAAATCAGAAGTGAATGATTAAGGATCCAGGCTCAGAGAATACTCCTGATCACCTCAGTGGAGAAAGTCCTTCCGGTGTGATTTTATCACTCCAAACCTGTTGGCCAAGTTTGTCTCAAGGATAGTTCTTAGAAAATCATTGTCGACATTTATTCTGGGAGTCCCACCCCCCCTTTTATATAGCTTCACTAGGGGCCCAGTCCATGAATTTGTGCACCTTGAAAGGAACTGTGGGCTGCGAGGCTGCAGTAGGGACAGGGCGGGTCTTGGCCCATCCTCTGTGACACCCGCCTGGCCCCTCCTGCCTCAGCCCCGGTCCCCTGTCTGCCAACAGCCCCACTCCCACCACCACCGCTCCCACACCAGCAGCAGGTGTGAGCAGCGGCTGCTGTCCCAATCGCCCCTCAGGAGCAGGGGGAGGTGGAGAAGCCCACAGGGGCAGTCAGGGTTGGCAGCCGCTGCTCGCACCCGCTAATGGCACTGAGTGATTGGAACTGGCGTTGGGCACCAGCAGTGGGGGCGAGCGGCGGCTCCAGTGCTGGCTGTGGGTGTGAGCGGGGCTGGCACTGGCAGTGGGTGCATGCAGCAGTTCTGGCAACGGCAGCAGGTGCGAGTGCTGGGCGGGACCACGGCATGCAGGAGCAAAGAATTTTCAGTAACCATCAGAGGCTCTCCCCGAGAGCCTTGGTCACATACAGTGACCGAGCCTTGGTCTGGTGCCCCTGCTCACCTGCTCCACCATCCCACTGTGGCCAACGCCCGCTGTGTTCCGCACACGCCCCCTGGTGGCCAGCACACGTCATAGCGACCGATTGTTCAGTTGTTCCGCTGTTTGGTCTATTTGCATATTAACCTTTTATTATATAGGATTGCTGATGCCCTCACTTGCCATGATTGGTGTAGCTTCACATTGCTGCCAAGTCCCATCTACCGCAGTGCTGTCTGATAGAAGTTTCTGTGATGATGAAAATGTTCTAGATCCACTTTGTCCAATAGCCACTATCCACATGTAGCTATTGGACACTAAAAATGTGACTAGTATAACTGAGGAATTGATTCTAACGTCTTTAAATTAGTTAAGTAGCCATATATGGCTAGTAGGTACCCTTTCAGACAACATAGAACTGAGGAAAAATGTATTTTTTTTTAAAATAATATGAAGCAGCTGGTTATCACTGAAAGGAGAAAAGAGATCCAATCAGTCTTCTTATGAGAACATCTTGTGGGCTTCTTAGATCAGCTAAATTATCCTGCTCTCTCTTTTTTTCAGTATAGAAGTAGCTGAGGGCAACAGACAGTTTCTGACCAGTGAAAAACTCAGTACTCAGTACAGAATTCTTGAAACAGAAAATTCAGAGGTAGTTTGTCCTGGTTCACAACATATGGGCAGCTCTTTCACCTAAGATCTTCTCAAGGCAAGAATAGTTCTTGGGTTGTGAAGAGAGAATGAGGTCAGAAGTAAACCGAGGATGGAGAACAGTTTTGCAAATGGTAACCCTTGATTGCACAATCCAAACTGAAATACACCCATGGACCATCATACCTTTCTTCTTTCTCTGCAGTTAGGGCAAGCGTGCTTTACTTGTTTAGCCACAGGGTCTTGAGTCAGAAGACCTTGATTAATGTTTTAGTTTTATCCCTTAATAACTGGGTGGCTGTAGATAGACCACTGAACTTCACTGAGTTTCCGTTATGAGTCTGTAAAATAGGGTAGAAGAGAGTAGATAGTATAAACAATACCTTCCTCAAAGGTGCAAGTAAGGATCAGATGAGGTCATGCATGTGAAACCACCCTAAGCTTGTCCAGGCTGCAGACACATCTTAGCAATGATTATTAGGTTTACATAGATCACGTTTGCCTTTTAAAACTGCTTTCATATTTATTATGTCACTTTTTATCTTCACAACAGGTCGATGAGGGACGTAGGGCAGGAATTATCTATGTTTTACCATCTGTTGATGTATGCAAATGTGGCCTGCAGAAGCCGAGAGACTGGCCTAAGGTTATGTAGTGCATCTATTTGCATTATGCCTGAGCTCAATCCTGGACCTACTGAGTCCTATTCTAAAGCCCTCTCTTTCAAAACAAACTCAGTCACAACCTTGAAATCCACCAGTTCTGCTGCAGAAATTATTCCTACTCAATATGCAAGCCACCCTAAAACATGAGTCCAAAGCTGAATAACCATAACATCAAAATGATGATGGATAGACACCCATTGTGCTGAGCATTTTATAGATATTATTTCACTTAATTCTCATAATAATTCCATGAGGTTGCGTGATTCCCAGGAAATTGAGACAGAAAACAGTTCGGGAATTTGTCCATGGTCTACAGAGCTAGTGAATGCCAAGGGCGCCTGACGGTATTAGTTTGGTAAAGCTGCTGCAATGAAGTACCACATACTGGGTGGCTTACACAACAGAAATGTATTGGCAAGAAGTCTAAAATCAAGGTGCTGGCAGGGTTGGTTCCTTCTGCAGGCTGTGAGGGAAGAATCTATGTTCCTGATCTTGGAGAGCCTTGGCTTGTAGATGACTGTGTTTATCCCGGTGTCTCTTCACAGTGTCTTCTCTTAATGTGTGTCTGTTTCTGTGTCCAAATTTCCATTTAGTATAAGGACACCAGTCCTATGGGATTAGAAATCAATCTAATGACCTCATTTTAAGTTGATTACCTCTATAAAGATCCTATCTCTAAATAATGCCACCTGCTAGGAATTGGGATTAGAACTTCAATATATCAATTTTTTTTGTTTGGGGGGTGGGGGAGACATAATTCACCATAACAGTGGATCTAAACCCAGTTCAATTGGTTACACAGTGTTAAGCATTATGCTATACCATTCTGTAGCCTTTTGAAAGGAACAAATTTGAAGACCTGGAGCGTGACACTTGACCTCCTGAATCCACTTTTACAGCAACTGAACAGTAATCTACCTTCTAAAATTTCTTAAAGTGGAAAGTGCTCCCCAAAATGTTTATCTAAGAGACTGGTTTCTAGCTTACTAGGCAATCTGGCATCGAGGACTTTTCTCATAAACATTTACAAATATTCTGCTCAGTAATGAAGTTAATCAGTAAGCCACCCAACCTCTGGCCTCTGTCACTTCTTACCTAGTCTCATTTTCAGTTGCTGGGAATAAAGTAAGAATGGTAATGCAGTTTCAGGAGTTAGAAAATCCAGCTCAAATTAGTCCTTGCCAGAGCTGCACATCATCAGGTTCTGTCATGGAAATGATGAGCATGAAGCCTGCAAAAGGTAGGACACTGTTCACAGGTGTTCATGGTCGAGCTTCTGAAACTGGGCTGAGGAAGTGTGGGGCACGTTTGTTTGAGATGACAGTAGCAGGTCTCTATCAAAGATGGCTCAGTCAGAACCAGAAGTCTGGGGTGAAAAGTTGGGGTGGTGTGATTTTTATAGGATTCTAGGAAGGTGAGTATTTCTTTGAGAGGAAATCTAAATATGTGTTTCCTAAAATTCTTCATTGGATTATGGAAAATTAGCACCATTTTTTTTTTAAGTAACACAGTAGGCAGTTCTAACATTGATGCCTGGTTACACTTGAAAAAACACTGTAATGTATGTTATTTAATGCAGTGGGCCATGAAATCTATTTCGTGGCTTTTGATCAGCATTAAAAACTAGAGTAGAATGGAGTGGGGTGGGGTAGAGTAGAGTGGAGTGGAATGGAATAGAGTGGAGTGGAGTAGAGTACAATAGGAGTAGCATGGAATAGAAATGTCAACATGCACTTCAAGAAGTAAAGATAAGTGTTGCTTCATAGAAATTTTGTTTTAGTTACTGATGTAGATGTGTAAGTGTGTACAGAAGTCAAGACATAAGATATATTTCAAACTGTGGGCTATGGTGAGAAGCATTTATTTTCCAAAGCATATTCCTCCTGGTAGTCTATGGAAAATCAGGTGAGTAAAGAGTTCAGCTTTAGGCCTAAGCTATTTGTTTTATCTGAAGTGAAACATGGATCATAATTAAAACATAGATTAATTTTGCCTGTTTTAATATTCTTCTCAAGGCAGAGTCTTGCCTTTTAAATTTCCAGCTAAAAGAGAAACTCTAATCTTTTTTACAACAATTACAAGTTGTGAACATATTGTGACCACAGAATTGGCAGCATTCCAGTTCGCTTCAATGCGATGTTTAGAAGTGACTGATACTGTATTTAGAAATGGAAATTACTTGAAAGGCTGGGGAGGAAAATTTTCTATTATTTCTATTTAACATGGATTAACATTTGTACTGTGTCAGGGTTTGTGTAAGGTGCCAGGGATAAAAAAAGGGGGGAAATATATGATATAATATAATATAATTAATATAATATAATTAATATAATATAATATATTCTCCAAAGAGTTCACAGAGTAACCAGAACAGTAACAAAAATGTATTGAACATTAATGCTGTGTCAAATCTAGCAAATTGTGGTTGAGTGGAATTGAGAGTTGGGCATGAAGTAGGACCCTCGCAACCAGTACGTCATTCCACCTCAAGTTTAGCATGGAAGATAAGCCTGTAAATGAACAAAAATGATTGAAACCTGCTGTAGTAGAAGTGCGTACAGAGGGTAGGAGAGGTTAGCTCTACCTAGGGGAGCTCGGGCAGACCTCAAGGAGGAGGTGTCAGCTGACCAGCCAAGGAGAGGCACCAACATCACACTGACCTGACATCAGGAAAAGCAAACAACTCCACAAATGAAGCTGGTCCATACAATTAAGTATCCATGAATTAGGAAATAAATGAGGGAGCGAAGGCAACTTTCCCATTCATGAGACATTCTAATAAACATTCATGATATTTTTACTCTAGTTAGCATTGTGCCAGAAGTGAAAAATGGGGTAAAACCTGGACCTTTATGAGGCTCAGAAGCTGTGCGATCACGGGAAAGTGCCATTGTTATTACAGGAACCTGGTTCTCCCGTGCGGGCACACAGTGCTCTGGCCACAGACTCCTTGGAGCTGCACTATATATCATTAAATAGCCATGTAGCCATTTCATTAACATTTTAATTATTTAAAATTAAATGAAAAATTCATTTCTTCATCATCACTAGCCATGTCTCAAATGCTCAGTATTCCATATGGTTCGTGGTTAATGTGCTGATAGGTATAGCACACTTTCAGCATCTTAAAGTTCCCTTAGATGATGCTCCTCCAGAAAAGCTAGTAAATGCTAGAGTTTCTCTACCCAGGAGAATTTTGCTTTCCTTTGCAGGATGTCTCGGACTCCCCTGAATCCATTCACGTGTTCCCATTGAAAAACTCTTCCCTCAACTCTCATATTCTCATTCATGTAGAATTCCTGTAATAAGGAATTCAAATTTTCCAATTCCTTGATAGACTGCCTCCAAGAAAACACTCACAAATTCTAAGTTATATATGCATCCCTTTAAATTAAAGTGTTTCCCTTTAAATTATATTAAAGTAGAAATAAAATTTCCTTTTCAGGAAGCACGCTCTAAACTTGACTTACTGCCTCTGCCCCCTCATGTCTTATGCTCTATCAGTTGTTTGTTTAGTTGGTTTTATCCCAGTCTTTGACTTTCCCCTCACAACACACACACACACACACACACACACACACACAAATGGCTGTGGCCTTTTCTGTTGTCTCTCTGTCTTACTCATTGTCTTATCCTCAGAGCCTAGCCCAGTGTTTAGCAAAGAGTAAGTGTTCAATATACATATATAAGTGAAAAAGTATCCTATAATTTATGTCATTAAAACAGACTGATAAGTATGAACAATTACTAATGAACTATTATTAGAGTTGGGATTTTGCCAGGTTCCTTAGGAAACAGACATATCTTTTTTATGGCACTCAACTTGTCAAAACTTTTCCCAATAACTGTGATTTTTTACTCAGAACTACCTTAGGAGATTTCAAGGCTGGGTGTTAATAGCTCCATTTTACAGAAGAAATTGAGACAAAAATGTTAGGTAGTACCTCAAGGTCTCACAGCAGCTCAAGGTCTCACAGGAGAAGTTGTTTTAGTGCCCCATTTTGAAATATGTTGGCTATGGTGGGTTTTTTAAAACTGTAAGTTGTCTGTATATTTCATGTCTACTCTGCAGAGATTTGATGGAGACTGTGAAATACTAGAAGTAGGTGTGCTTTGGGAAGAGAGGCATTATTTATTAATATTGTGCACTGACCTCATATTCTTGCCTGTTTTGTTGTTTTCGTGTAATAGAATTGATGTCTTTGTGAAAGCTTTCCATTTTCATTGAGATGATTCCAGAGATTGATATGATATTGATACGATGATGTGATTTGTGTTGGGACTTCATTGTGTCTTTTGATTATTAAAATATTTGTTTCATTGGAATAATGCTCAGAGATTTGGAATTGTCATGTGAGGACAAAAACTTAAATATTTCCTTGGACTCTGCAGAATCCAGATTCTGTCCTTACTTGATTGTTTGACCTCAGGCAAGTTGCTTAACCTTCCTGGAAGTGTAGGTGGAGAGTAACTGGGGCTTGGGGGTGGGGATGTAGAGTTGATTAGGGGTAAGATGGTTTGGAGGATAAAATCTAGATATGAGTGCAAGTGAAACTGTTTTTAATGTTAAGTTCTTTTCTAGCCTATTCACTCCAGAAATTTTAGTCACACTTAATTATTAAATAGATCAGGATGTTATTCATATCTTTTCTTTTTTCTGTTCTAATTCCATATTTTTGTATTCTTCCATTTTGTGGTCATTAGACAAATCTTTTTGTCAGATATTCTGACTCAATGCTGGTTTTATATGGTTGAGCTGAGCATAAAAGAGAGGAAATTGATATTTGCACCAATATTGTATACTCTGTGCTCTATCAATCCTTTCCTGGGTCAATGTAGGCAGCATTTTTTTCAACAAGCATTAAATATACATATACTCCACTTTGCCATTGTCAAAAAGCTCTAAATTCTAATGCCCATAGACTGTTAGTCATATACTTGTAGATATTTTAGATATACAAAAGAACTATCAGATTATCCAGCATTGAGTCTTCTCTTCATAGATGAGCAAACGTTGGCCCAGGCAGGGAAGGTAAGTATCATATAACTAGATTCAGAGCCAGGACTCCCAGGGACCTAGAGTCAGGGAAAACTTCTAAGAGAAACTATACTTAAAGGGAAGTTTAGAGTTAAGTGCATATTGGTGAGAGGAAGTTCTCAGAGGGAGTGACTATATTGAGGGAAGTGCCAGGCTCCAAAAGCAGCACACGGGCAAGTCCCTGAGTCTGGCATCAGCAAGGAACCTTCAAGGAATGGCTGGAAAAGAAAGAAAGGGTAGGATCACACTGAGCCCTGCAGGCCTAGTTGTCGGTTATCTGCAAGCAGAAGCAGTGGAGGACTAAAGAACTCAAGAGCAGAGAGAGGAAGAGAAAGGCTTTAAATCATGTCCAAAAAAGCAGGGGTGAGGAGCCTTTTTCTGCCAAGGGCCATTTGAATATTTATAACGTCATTTGAAGGCCATACAAAATTATTGACTTAAAAATTAGTCTGCTATATTTGGTTGAACATTTAATTAACTCACCCCTTTGGCCTTGGTAGGGTCAGACCAAATGATTTGCGGGCCTTATACAGCCCGCAGGCCAGACGTTCCCCACCCCTGCTCTAAAGCACCACCCATCTGAAATTTTCCTAGAGAGAAATAGTGCAGCACATGGGCTATGAGGTCTGACTCCCAAAGTTCAAAGCTCAGCTACTTAGGTGGGTAGGAGTAAAGTTGCCTAAATTCTCTACACCACGGGCTAATCGTTTGCAAGTGGGGGTAATAATGTTATGTACCTCATAGGATTTTGACCTTTATTTATTCTCTTAGTGTGAGCATGTATACATTGCATTGTGGGAAATATTGCTATTTGATTCTGGGTTCTGCCCCAGACCATGCTGGGAGAAATAGCACTGCATTTTGTTCTAAAATTCAAACGACTCTGAATTTGAAAATACAGTTGACTCCAAGGGTTTCAGATGAGGAACTGTGGATCTGTATTATCTTAATCTTCAGCAACCCTTGATATAGATATTTCCATCCCAAGCCTACTGCTGTAAAAACGGAGGTTTTCAGCAGTTTAATTTGCCCAGTCTCATTGTTCACAGAGGTGGAGTAGGAATTTTGGTCTAGGGTTGCCTGACTGTGCTTTGAAGAATCAGACCTATTTGTGTACTCGCCTATATCTTATTTATGCCCATAACATTTTAAAAAATGTTTTGTATAATTTAAACACTGCTGTATTCTAAAGAGCCATAGTTTATGTTTCTAGCAAATAGAAGCATTTTCACAGCCTGATAGTTTTCTGTTACCTAGAGGTTTTATAGATAAGGGGCTCATTTCATAATAGCAGTAGGAATAATTATTATTACTATTTTGATGGCAGCTATAATTTATCTAGCACGTTATGTGTGCACACATTTGCAAAGTGCTTTCATTTTGCATGCATTACCTTGTTTAATCCTTATATCAACCGAATGAAGTAGGTGTTTTACTCTGTTTTATAAAGACAAAACCAAGACTTAAAGATGTTAAGTAAACTGTCAGCATACGCAGATAGTAAGTAATAAAACAGAGCTAGGATTTGAACCCTGGTAAACTAATTTCAGGTACTGCATTCTTTTTTTAAGCTTCTCCTTTGTTTTATAATAATTAAAGTCACACATATCTATACGGAAAAATTACAAATAGTAAAAAGATTGTGTAATATCCCACCTCAGAAAACAATCCAACAATCTCACTTCCCACAGTTGCCATCATCCAGTTCCTTTTGCACTGTGCAAAAAATAGCCTCATATACACAGTGTTTTTTAATACTCATATATCCGATCTAATAAAGAGGGAATTTGCTAATTGACTGCCCCGCCCTCAAAGATGGCAGTGCCCACAGCCAATAAAGAGGAGATATGCTAATCGCTGCCACACCCTCAAATGTGGCGGCGCCCGCAGCCACAAGATGGCGGTGTCCAGTCCCCTTAGCCCTGCCAGGGCGGCAGGTGTGCGTGCGGCAAGGCCGAGCCCGCCCCTAGGTGAGCCTGGCCACTCTGCGTGCCTGCCTCCGGAGACCCCCAATCCCCTCAGCCCCCCAGCCACCCAAGGTCGGCCCGAGGTGCAGGTAACCAGGGCCGGCTGAGGATCGCGCTGCCGGCAGTGGCAGCAGCAGAGGTGTGATGGGGTGTTGCCTTCACCTGATGACCAGGTCACCTCCCGCCCCTGAGGGCTTCTGGACTGTGAGAGGGGCCAGGCTGGGCTGAGGGACCCCCCCCCTTCAGTGCATGAATTTTCATGCACCAGCCCTCTAGTATGTGTGTGTGTGTGTGTGTGTGTGTGTGTGTGTATAATATTCTATAGCTTAATTTTTTTCATAAAACATCATATTATAGAAACTTTTCCACATCTGCCCATATAGATCTAAATGATTGTTCCACATCTACAAAGTATTTCAGTATAGGGACATAATATAATTTATTTAACCAGAATCCTATTGATGGATATTTGCAAATATGATGCTTGCAAACATTGCTGCAAATGAACACTTCACACAAACATTTTTTCATTCAGATTAAATCATATCTTTAAGATTAATTTTCTAGCAGTGGATTGTTGTGCTAAAAGAGTATTTGAGTTTTAAATGCTGAAAGATATGGACAGATTGTCCTCCAAGAATTTTGCTTTCTCAAGAGTGTGTATTGTCAAACTTTTTAAATCCTTATATATTTAAGGATGAACACTGTAATCTTTTTCTATTGCAGTTTCTATTTAAATTTAATTATTGGCAAGGAGGGGCACATTTTTATGTCTTTATAACATGCTTGTGTTTTTATTTCTAAAAACTGGCCATTGATGTCCTCTATCATTTGTCCATGGAATGTTAAATGTTTTGTATGTTGAATGCTTTTAAAAAAAAATTCTTTTTTTCTTTTTTGTTCCACATTGAGTATTTTCTTACTGGTTTGAAAGAGCTCTTTACACATTATTTGTATGTTGTAGATATTTTCTGAGCTTGTAATTTAGTCCTTTAATTCTCTATGTAGGCTTTTTTATGTAAAAAAGGTTCATTTTTATGTATGTAAATATTTCAGTTTTTTCTTAGAGCCCACACTCCTAAACATACTGTATGCTTAACTGCCTCTCTAATTTATAGAGTGATAATGTTAATTCCAGTTTTATTGTCGGTTTTGCTCAGGTGTACTAACAGAGCCAACAACAGGTCCTCTGGGGCAGAACCTAGAAGTGGAATCATACTCACAATACAACAACATTCAGTTTCCTCAAGTTCAACCACAGATTTCCTCCTCATCCTATTATTCCAGCCTGGGTTTCTACCCCCAGCAGCCTGAAGAGTGGTACTCTCCTGGACTATATGAACTCAAGCCACTGCCCACGGAGACCCTCTACCAGGGAGAGACTGAGGTAGCAGAGATTCCTGTGACAAAGAAGCCTCGAATGGGCACGTCAGCCGGGAGAATAAAAGGAGACGAGCTATGTGTTGTTTGTGGAGACAGAGCATCTGGATACCATTATAACGCACTGACCTGCGAGGGGTGCAAAGGTAAGCATCTTTTGACTGGCCGTGTTCTCCTTGTTAAGGTTTTACTATATTGGTTGTATAATTCCCTCAAACCGGATTGTTCCCTTTTCCCAGATAACTTTCCATTTTCTCCTACCTCTTCTTATCTCCTCACCTGGGTTGGCATGTTATAGACCTCTAGGAAAAGCCTATTAAAATATGTAGCTTAGATATGTCACCTTTTACCTATTCACAACCTTACACATAGTTAAGAAATGTATGACTGTTGATTTTGTTTGTTTTTTGCTGTTTTCTTTTAAAGAGAAATTCGAACTTACTTCTTTAAGAATTAAGAAAGAAGTAATAATAGCTTATTTCAACTGTATTTTATTTAGCAGGAAATATCTGTGAGATGCTGTGGGAGGTGGGATCAACGACATTGCAGCCCATTTAGAACAGTGGTACTCAACCTTCCTAATGCCCCGACCCTTTAATACAGTTCATCATGTTGTGGTGACCCCCAACCGTAAAATGATTTTCATTGCTACTTCATAACTGTAATTTTGCTACTGTTATGAATCGTAATGTAAATATCTGATGTGCAGGATGTATTTTCATTGTTACAAATTGAACATAATTAAAGCATAGTGATTAATCACAAAAACAATATGTAATTATATATGTGTTTTCCGATGGTCTTAGGCGACCCCTGTGAAAGGGTCGTTCGACCCCCAAAGGGGTCGTGACCCACAGGTTGAGAACCGCTGATTTAGAAGGAATAAAATATAACACATGAAATATAAAAACGACGCAATGTGTAGTCCTATGAGATTACTCTCCAAACAAGGACACAGGTAGTAAGTTTGTAAAATTTCAGAGGAAAGGACAGAGAGGTTAACCCACAAGTAGGTTAACCCATTTATCTTTGTATTTCTTCATTCAACAAATATTTATGGAATGCCTACCATGCACTCTGCTAGCTTCTACGACATTGGAAGCTGAATAATAACTGCCCTTGAGCGGAATCTATTGAATGGTGTGCCAAATGCAGATGCCAATGATTGCCATACAAACAAACAGTCACATAAAAGTGGCTCAAGGACATTTCAAACCTTTGAAAGTTCAAATGATCAGATTGTGTAAAAAAAACTACATTAGGCACTGTGCTGTCATTACGTTTTTAAAACATAAGTAGTGTTTATGCCCCACATTTAAAAATTAAAACAGATCTATACAGAAAATTTAAAACATCTCATTTATGGCCTTCAATATATCCTTATTCTTTTTGTGGAGAGTCAAGTTTGTATAGGTGAAAAGAGAACTTGTAAATTCTTTGAAGGCATAGATTATGTCTTCAGCTCTATTACTCCCCATAGCACCCAACACAGTGCCTGCCACACAGGAAGTGTGGGATGGATGTTATTTGAATGACCTATGAAAATCCATGATCACCATTGGTACTTAGCATATATAACTCTACTTTGTAAAAATATTTTCAGACTCTTTTATACTACCTAATTCTTTCATACCTCCAAATGATAAGAGTAAATATTACCCTTCCACCCCCATATTTGGTGACAATTCTTTTCCTTGAGTAGGCAGAGTTTTGGAGATGGAAATCTGATTTTGTGACAGTTAAAAGAAAGAGAGTTGAAAATTGCCAAGAGAGTAGATCATAAATGTTCTCACCACAGAAAAAAATGGCATTGGTGTGCCTGGATGGAGGTGTGAGCTAAGGCTATGGTGGGCATCATTCTGCAATAAGTGCATCAGTCAACACGTTCAGCTTAAACCTACATAATGTTATATGCCAATTATATCTCAATAAGTCTGGAAAAAAGAAACAATAAAAACACTGAAATTAAAAAGAGAGAGAGTTGAAGTAGGGAGGAGAAGCTAGTTGGTTAGGAAAAATAAAATAGTTTCAAAATGACCAGCATGAAAGTTGGATTAAAAAAAAAATACTAGCCCCACCAGCATAGCTCAGTAGTTTAGCATCCACCTATGCTAGTAAACCAGAAGGTCACTGTTTGATTCCTGATCAGGGCACCTGCCCAGGTTGAGGGCTTGATCCTCAGTAGGGTGCCTGCAGCGGGCAGCTGATCAATGATTCTCTCTCATCGATGTTTCCATCACTCCCTTTCCCTTCCTCTCTCTGAAAGCAATAAAAATATATTTAAAAAATAATTTTAAAAAGTGTACACATAAGTTTGAGAAATGAACCAACCTACAAAAAGAAAAAGAGCTTTGCAGTAGCTCTAGTCAAAAAGTGGCTGGGTCTGTTACTATAGAGGGAATATGAAGACCAAAGGATGAAGCATATAGGATGGCATATTTGGGCATAATTCAAGAAATACTTTTCTTTTTTTTATAAATATATTTTATTGATGTTTTACAGAGAGGAGAGGAGAGGGATAGAGAGTTAGAAACATCGATGAGAGAGAAACATCGATCAGCTGCCTCCTGCACACTCCCTACTAGGGATGTGCCCGCAACCAAGGTATATGCCCTTGACTGGAATCGAACCTGGGACCCTTCAGTCTGCAGGCCGACGCTCTATCCACTGAGCCAAACCGGTTAGGGCTTATTTTCTTTTTTATAAATGAGAGAAACATTCTTTTAAAAAAATCCTCACCTAAGGATATGCTTTTACTGATTTTGAGAGAGAGAGAGAGAGAGAGAGAGAGAGAGAGAGAGAGATCAATTGGTTGCCTCCTGTACACACTTCGATCGGGTATCAAACCTGCAACCTGCAACCAAAGTATGTGCCCTGACTGGGAATTGAACTCCCAACCTTTTTGGTGTATAGGACAATGCTCCAACCAACCCAGCTACCTGACTGCTTTCTTGAAGTGAGCCATGTTTCTCACGTTGATTCAAATTGCTTTTTATTAAATTCCTCATGCTATTTTTTAATACAAAAAGATTTTATACAACAAAAGAACAAAAACAAGTTTAGAAAATTAAATACAAACAAAACTATAAAATTAATAAAATAATAGATGGTTTATACTCTGTGGTTTTGTTGCTCAGAATGTCACTAAAGCACAGGTTCTGCTCAGCCAGCGTGGCTCAGTGGTTGAGCATCGACCTATGAACCAGGTGGTCCCGGGTTTGATTCCCAGTCAGGGCATGTGCCTGGGTTGCAGGCTGGATCCCCAGTGTGGGGTGTGCAGGAGGCAGCCGATCAGTGATTCTCTCTCATCATTGATGTTTCTATCTCTCTCTGAAATCAATAATATATATATATATATATATGTGTGTGTGTGTGTGTGTGTGTGTGTGTGTGTGTGTGTGTATGTATTTAAATAAAATAAATGGTTCATCTAGGGCTCCATCTGGCTACCCCTAAGCTGAAGACATCCCGTGCATATTAAGTTTACCTTTTCCACTTTCTCCTAGCTCTTGACAAATAAATCATGCCTCTTGCTGTTAATAAGATCATGGACACAAACAAAAATGAGGCATTTAGTTTGTATGGCAGTATAAGATGGTCATAGAGATGATCCAGAGAATGCTGTTAATTAATTTTTAAAGACATTCAGAAAATAAAACTATAAAAATAAATTTATTATGTGCAAAGGACATTTAAAAAAGTCTGGCACATAGCCCCAAATCAATAAATGCCTATTGTTATTGTTGTTATGGTCTTAGACTCTATTAACATTGAGTATACTGGTGTGTGACTATTTTCTGCTTATCTTGATAAAGGTTGATGCCCAACCCATTGTCAGTTGTTTGGCAAGACTTATTCGGTTTGATATTGACTTATTTCCAAAAGCCTGTCCACCTTGTCTGTGTGGACCAGTGCTACTCAAAGTATCAGTTCAGTATCACTTGGGAAGTTGTGGGAAATGCAAATTTGAGGACCCTGCCCCAGACCGACTGACTCAGAATTTCTGGGAATTCTGTGACTTAACAAGCCCTCCTTGCTAAAGTTTGAGAACTACTGACGTAAGTCATACCTAAAAGGCACCTGAGTTGACTCATCTGGCCAAGCAGCTTGGTTGTGCGTTGCCATTGTGAAATTCTCAAAGGCGGGGATGCTGCTCTCCAGTCATCCAGAGGAAAATTCAATGGATAAAAATGTTGACTGGAAACACACAAAGTCTAACCCAGTCATGGTTCCTGCTTGGAAAAGAATAGAAAAGGACATGCATTCTGAAAATCCCATTTTAAATATGAACCTACAAATTTCAGGGCCAATGACATGCCAGTGCTACAGACACTTTCTCAGGCCCTTGCAGCAACTGTGGGAAGAAGGTGTCACTGTGCCTATTTTAAAGGTGAAGAAGAAGCGGATCGTTTCAAAAAGAAGCTGAGATTTGGAGGCCGGTGCTAATAGCTTATGTGATGTATTTACTATACCTCAGGAGTAAAAGCGCTAATACCTTATCTCCATTTTGTAGATGAAGAAAGTGAGGCACAAGAGGTTAATCAACTTACTCAAGGCTTCTCAATAAGGGGCAGAGCTTCAAATGGACAGCTTATAGATCTAATTCTAGAGCCTCTGTTATTGACCACCGGGTTATGATGTGTTTTATTGCTTGCCCACTGAGTGATCATTCTACTCTTTACGCTATTTAGTCAAGGCTAATATTGACTAATTCAGTGACCAAAGGAAGAACATCAAGAGCTCACTTAGGTGTTAAGGTATTGGTATTACCCACGCCAAGGACAAGAGTCTCTAAAAGTCAGTAACCTGGGTTGGCTCACCTCTTACAGATGAAAGCTGTAGTGAAACCTGGTCCTCCTGAGAACTCAGGGGTGTGGCAGGGTGAATAGTGTGAGACCAGTGTGCTGAGGACAAACCTAAGAAACACGGACTGTAAAGGCAGGCAAGGGAGGAGATGCCCATAAAGGATATAGAATAGAAGTCTACCTTCTATAGACAGAATAGGAAACGAGTGGAAAGAAATGGAATGGAATGGAATGGAATGGAATGGAATGGAATGGAATGGAATGGAATGGAATGGAATGAGAGGCTACAAGAGAAGTGCAGGGTCACAGGAGAGAAGGAAGGGGACTGAAAAGTGGTCGAA